GTCCTGATGGGAGTCTCCGTCTTCATGGCCCCCGTGCTCAAGGTAGGGAGCCTGGGTGCTGGGTGAGCCTCTTTTCCTAGGCAGGGGGTGGCCATATCCTGCAAGGCTGGGGAGTTCCTTGTTCCAGCCATCCAGGGAAGCCTGGCTGGCAGGCAGGGAGCTGTGCAAAGGATTTGGGCCAGGCAAAGGATTTGGCTCCTGTGCCACAGGAGGGTGAGCACACCAGGCACTGTGACCATGTGTCAGCTGGCCACTGTCCTCATGCACATTGGGGTCCCCTGTGCTCCCCAAACACACCCCACCATACCCTCCAGGCTGTCACATGGAGGTCCCAGCCTGGCTGCTGTTGGTTTTCACCTGCTGCTGCAGTAGGAAAAGCCCCTCCAGTGGCCCTGGATTACCTGGGGGCAGGTGGGAGGTGCCTTTTCCTTGACCTCTCTCCTCACCCCTGAGGCTGCCCTTGCACAGCCTTTGATATGGGCCCCCCAACATTCTCATCTCCAAACTGGAAATACGTGGAACTGAAGGATGGATGAGGAATTGGCTGGATGGCCATGTCCAGAGACCTAGTCAGTGTCCCAACATCCAAATGGAAACCACTAATAAGTGGTGTCTCCCAAGGGTCCCTACTGGGACCAACACAATTTAACATCTTCATCCAGGACACAGACAGCAGGATGGAGCTCGTTTGCAGGTGGCACCAAGCTGAGAGGTGCAGTGACACACCTGAGGGATGGGATGGCATCCAAAGGGACTGTGGAGGACACGGGCCCACGTGAACTTCACGTGGTCCAACAAGGGCAGGCTGGGCTGCTGGGAATGAAGGAGGCAAAGGCTGTGGACATGCATGGGGGCTTTTACACAGGACAGGACACTTGGCAGGCACAGCCCCCCAGGGAACAGCCCCACTGACCCCCCATCCCGCTGTCTTGCAGCACATCCCGATGCCGGTGCTGTACGGGGTGTTCCTGCACATGGGGGTGGCGGCGCTGAACAGCATCCAGGTGAGGGGGGGCTGCACTGGGGCTGCTGGTGGGGGCTGCTTTGGGGATCAGGGGGTTTGCTCAGCACCAGCTCCCACAGCAGAGCCCAGATTTTAGCTCTGCAAGACGTGCAGCCTGGCATGGGGCTGTGTCCCCTGCCAGGCCCAGGACAAGGAGGGGGAAAAGGACCTTTCTGGGGCAGAGGGAAGGGAAAGGGAGGTGTCTGGGATGCTGAGGAGCTGGATTAACTTGTGCACTGATGGGTCAGGTGGTTTGGGAGAAGCGGAAGGACCAGTGGATAATCCAGACTTGCTCTCAAAGCCACAGGGACTTCCCCACCTGGGAGCTGGGGACCTGCTGGTCCTTTGGCCTTGGCATTTGCTGCTGCTGAGCCAGCTCTGTTCTTCTCCTGAGAAATCCATGGAGAGGAAAAAAAAAAAAATCCCCACTCCAGAATTATCTATGCCACTTTTCCCTCTAAACAGTACCTCTTCCTTGCAATTATCCTGCTTTGTAGAACAGGCTGGGAAAATCCCTCCCTCCCTCTGCCTGGGAAACCCAGAGCTGTTCTCTGGAGGCTGCAGCAGTTTCCTGCATGTAGGGAGTTCCATCAAGGGCTGTTATCTCACAATTAACCCATTAAGGCCACCTTGAGTCCTTTTGTAGAGGTCTGCTTGGAAAGTGTTCCCCCTGGCCTGGGGAGGGGTGGTACCGGGACCACCGGTCTTGCAGACAAACGCCCTGTCCCAGCATCGGCACAGAGGGCAGGAGGGCTGAAACGCAGACACAAGGGCAAAACCCCATCCTGCCGGCCCCGGGGCCCAGCAGGGAGGTGGAGGTGTGTGACCCACCCGCCGCCCTCTCGCTGCAGCTCCTGGACCGTGTGCGGCTGCTCCTGATCCCGGCCAAGCACCAGCCAGACCTCCCCTACCTCCGCCACGTCCCCCTGCGCCGGGTGCACCTCTTCACCGTCATCCAGCTGCTCTGCCTGGCCCTGCTCTGGGTCCTCAAGTCCACCACGGCCGCGATTATTTTCCCGGTGATGGTACGACACCCCTTGAACCGGCAGCGCTGCCTCGGGGTTGGGCTGAGTGCTGCCCACCGCAGTGTGGAGTTCCTTTGGGAGGGGACACGGGTGCTGCCCACCCCAGTGGGGTCCCCGGGATGCTCCTGTGGAAAGGGG